AGAAACCCAAATCACTGGTATCAAAAACAAAAGGAGTGAATTCACCACCAATGAAGAAGAAATTAAGACCACTGTTAGGAGCTACCGTGCCCAGTTATATGCTAATAAATTTGACAATCTAAATGAAATGGATGAGTATCTACAAAAATATAAATTAGCCAGATTAACAGAAGAAGAAATAAAATATGCCTATTTTAGAAAAAGAAATTGAACAAGCCATCAATGAACTTCCAAAGAAAAAATCCCCAGGACCAGATGGATTCACAAGCAAATTCTACCAAACATTTAAAGAACAACTAATCCCAATACAATACAAACTATTTGAAAAAATAGGTGAAGGAGTCCTACCAAATTCCTTTTATGACACAAATATGATTCTGATACCCAAAGCAGGAAGAGCCAAAACAGAAAAAGAAAATTATAGGCCAATTTTCCTAATGAATATTGACGAAAAAATTTAAATAAAATACTAGCAAAGAGATTATAGCAATATCTCACAAGGATCATACACTATGATGGGATTTATACTTGGAAGGTAGGGTTGGTTCAATATTAGGAAAACTATCAGCGTAATTGACCATATCAATAACAAAACCAACAGAAATCTTATGATTATCTCAACAGATGCAGAAAAAGTCTTTGACAAAATATAGCACCCATTCCTATTAAAAACACTAGAGTATAGCAATAAATGGAGTTTACCTTAAAATTATAAGTAATATTTATCTAAAACCATCAGCAAGTATTTTCTGTATTGAGAAGAAGCTAGGATTGCTCAGCATGGCATCCTCGAATCAAAGAAGGCACTATGCTCTATGAGCCAAGCAAAGTTGCAGTAGCTCAAAAAAAAAAAAAGTGAGATGTACAAATTTAGAGACATCTTCCCCTCCAAATGTTAATGTGGATTATTTGTGTCTCACCTGTGGTAGAACATTCCGAGATTGTTTTGGTCTTACGAGCCACAGTCGGACACACTGTACCTTGACTCCAACATAGTGATGTCATTTTGGTCGTCTTTGAGAAAAGGACAATAAGCAACCACCAACCAATGGGAGCTGATGAGATATCAAGGGAGAAGAGAGCATTGGGTTCAAGACAAAGCCTTTGGAATGACCTTTGACTAGTGAGAATGACCTGGGTAAAGGACCAGAGAAGAGAAGTACCAGCCAGATAGAAGGAAGAGCAGGAGATAGCAGTGTCACAAAACCCTGGAGAAGATAAAGCATCCAAGAGGAAGTGATCCACGGTGTCACACTGCAGAGAGGTCAGAAAGGATAAGGAATGAGAAAGGGTCATTGATGATGAGAATTATGCATCAGAAATTTGATGTCTTTCATGGACTGAAAGGCAACAAATACAGACCTCAAAAGATTCTAGAGAAGAATCCTACAGTATGTTGTTTACAAGAGACACATTTGAAGCAGAGAGATATACACAGGGTAAAGATAAGGGGCTAGATCTGGACATTTAAAAGATCACTGGTAACCATGGAGAGAAGAAGTTCAATGATGAGGTCAGAAGATTGATTGCTATGGGTTTAGAAGAATGAGAGGAAGTGAAGGGAGCTGGGTGGCATAACTTTACTGTGATTGTTGTTCAGTCATTTTTCAGTTCTGTCTGACTCTTTGTGACCCCATTCGGATTTTCTTGGCAAAGATATTGGAATGTTTTGTCATTTCCTTCTCCAGCTCATTTTATAGATGAAAAAACTGAGGCAGACTGGGTTAAGTGACTTGCTCATGGTGACACAGCTAGTAAGTGTCTGAGGTCAGATTTGAACTCAGGTCCTCTTGACTTCAGGGCCAGTGCTCTATCCACTGCGCCACCTAGCTGCCCCATCTGGTGCCTTTTCATCACACCACACTGCACCCCCTTCCCTTTAAGGAGAGGGGATGGAGTGACCCTACCGGCATGGAAGTGGGAACCCACAATATATGTTTGAATATATTTGTCTCTTTGAACAAAGACAAAGATAAAACCATGGCTGAACTCAAGGAGCTGATATCCTATTGGAGGGAAACAACATGATCACAGAAAATTATATAAATTGTATATATATATTCATATATATTATATATGTATATGTATGTACATATGTATATAGGTATATATATTCACACACACACACATATATATATTATATATATATATATATATACATATATATGGTAATTTCTAGGGAAGAGAAGGCTCATGTCCAACATGAAAGGCAGTTTAAGTATCTTCTAAATCCAATGAGGAATGTGGGGAGAAAAGAAGGCTCATAAGCTCATAGATCTGGGCAGGAGGTGACTTTATAGGCCACCTAATCCAACCCTTTAATTTTATAGATGAAGGAACTGAGGCTGCCCAAAGAGGTAGTGACTTACCCAAGGTCACACAGCTAGCACTGATGAGAAGCAGGATTTGAACCCACATTCTCTGAATCTAGGGTCAACACTCTTTCCCCTATATCAAGAGAAGGAGGGAAAGAAGGGAATCTTAATATGTAAAGATAAAATTGCACAGAAACACAAAATACCTGGTAGCCTTTTTGGATGGTATATTTTTATGCTTGGAGTGTTTATTTAACTTAGATTAAAAGTCCCCTGGGCAAAGACTACACTTTCTTTTATGCCTTGTACAGCATTAAGTATGCTACCCATGCTACATAAATAATAGTAATCAGTTCAGCATGAATTTTGAAAATGAAAATAGGAACCATTGTTCTAATGACCCGTACCATGGAGTTATTGCCAGTTTATCTCTTCATCCCCTTTACTTCATTTTTAATTGTTTTATTACGGATGAATTTTAGATGACATCTTTTAGGTGACATAAAAATATTTTAAATACAGTTATTTCCTTTGCCATTTTCTACAAATGGACCAAAAAGTGATTAACTTCACAATGTGCTTGGTGCCTTAATAGAAGGTTGAGTTCTTAAGTAATTAAACGTGTTTACATACTATTTATTCTTGGTGTATTATCTCCAGTGACTATGAAACATTTCATTATGGGCACCATCATAAAATCCCCTCAACTTTCTGTCTTTCATCCTGGGTGATTAAGGCAATTCTTAAACAAGGTCACACTCAAGGAGAGCTGTGATGCCAAGGAATATGTTGTCATCTATTTTATTACTCCATATTTTACTCCCAGTGAACTGGTAAACAATTAAAATTCAAACACATCACTGCATATAATTCAGTTACTCCCAAAACGTCATAAAAAATGTGTTTCCCTGATCAATAATTGCTTATTATGATATATAGTTGTTGTGCTGGCTGTCAAGGTGCTTAGCTATTTGCTTCCTAAAAGTTAGGGAAAATAAACTGAGAAAATCAGTCAATGGCACAAGAAAGAAATCATAGAATCATAGAATTCGAGGGGCCTAAGTAGCCGTCTAGTTCAATCCTTACACTAAAGGAATCCTTGCTGTATCATATACAACAAGTGGTTCTTGTTAACAGATTCTGCTTGAAGACCACCAGTGAGAGAGAAACCACCAATCCCTCTGAAGGCAGTCCATTCCACATTGGCAGCCCTAATTGTTGGGTTTTTCCTGACATTAAGTCTACCATTTGGGGCCAAACAGAACCCATCCAATCCCTCTTCTGCATGGCTTCAAATACTTGAAGATAGGTATCATGTCTCCCCTGCATCTTCTTTTTTCCAGGTTAAACATCCCCAGTTTTCTCAAACAGTCCTTGCAGCTCATGGACCCATGTCCTTCTTAAACCTTGAGACCCAGGGGCAGCTAGGTGGTGCGGTGGATAGAGCACCAGCCCTGAAGTCAGGAGGACCTGAGTTCAAATCCAGCCTCGGACACTTGACACTTACTAGCTGTGTGACCCTGGGAAAGTCACTTAACCCTAACTGCCTTAAAAAACAAAAACAAAAACAAAACCTTGAGACCCAGAACTGATTGATATTATTTATGTAGCATGGATAGCATACCTAATGCTGCACAAGGCATTAAAAAAAAAAGTATAGTCTTTGCTCAGGGAACTTATCCTGTTGGGTACAGCCATAAAATTGGCATTTCAAAATAGGAATTCTAACCTAAACTCTGCTTTTTTGCAGAGGACCCAAGTCAAATGGCCATAGTGGAAGGGAAGGGAGTTCCCAATTGGTTAAACTAAAATGATGAAATGAGACAAGCTGGGGATGGGGCAGGGGTGGGTGGGGGGAACTCATTGAAATTGTCATATTATTAAAAAGAATAACATACCCCCAAATGGAATGCTGGGGTGGAAAAGTTAGAAGATTTAAGTAAGAGTCACTTCCCTTTCCTCATAAGTTAACTAAGTTCCCCTTCCAAAAACAACGTAGTTTAGATAAAATCAGGATGTCGGGAGACTTCTATCTCTGTGATACAAGAGATCTTCATCCTAAAGGATATGTATTTTTTAAAAATTAAATAATTTTTATAAGAATTTATCTGTTCCCTCCCAAATTAACAATAAAAAAATGACAAAATAAAGCCCTCATAACAAATATGCATAGTCCAGTAAAACAAATTCCCACCTCAGTCATGTCTCAAATTGCATGTCTCATTCTGCATTTTTTAAGCCTATCACCACTCTCACAGAAGGTATGTGTTATAGTTCACCTTTAGTCCTCCTGATTTATCATGGTATTAATCCAAATTCTAAAATCTTTCAAAGTTTTTCTCTATGATGTTGTTATTATATAAATTGTTCTAGTTTTGCTCATTTCATAGAATTTGGCCCAATTTCCTCTGAAGCTATTTTGTCATTTCTTATGGCATAGTATTTAGCTAATCCCCAATAGGAGGGCATCCCCTCGGTTTCGAATTCTGGGCTACTATAAAAAGAGCTACTACAAATATTTTTGTATATACAAGTCCTGTTCCTCTTTCTTTGATCTCTTTGGGATATAAGCCAAGTAGTATATATTGCTCAAAAACACACATAGTTTATTATTAATGTTTTAGATATAGTCCAGAATAGCTAGACCCACTCACAGCTCTACCAATAATATACCTTTGTACTCACTTTCCTGCAGGTTCTCCAACACTATTCATTTTCCTCTTTTAACTAATGAATTTGAAGAATTGTCACCAAATGTTGAAAAGCCTATAATTCAAAAAGAAGAGAATATAGTTGAGCTTGTGGAAACCAAGAAGTCATGCTCATTTTATGTGAATTTTTTTTCATTACATAATTTACTTACTTCCCCTTTGTTCCCTCTGCTAGACTGGCAATAAATAGAACTTTGACACTGTGGTTTCAGTTGGCATGAATGCTAGGCAAGAATAGTGGGTCTGAGCCTTTGATTGCCAATGGAGTTAGGCCATGACAACTAATCTTCTGAGCTGGTGCTTTGAGATAACTGTACTCGGGACCTTCCTGAGTGACTCATTTTTTCGTATTCACAGTCTCACGTCCTTCAACCTTTATTCACTTGTGGGAGGGAGTTTTGCTAATTATTAGAATTATTCTACCCAGAGATCCAGGAGCTGAATGCAAAACCAAAACAAAACCAAAAAACACCAGAAATAAAGCAATGTCAAGCTTGGTTTCAGATCATTAGCTGTAGAGCATTTATTCAACAAACATTTCTTAAGAGTTAACTATGGGGAAGACAGTGTAGTAGGCTCTGGGTACATGAATATAGCTGCAAGGACAGGCCATGCTCTAAAGGAATTTAGAATTAAATAGGAGAAAAGGGAAGTGAGATGTGTCCCCCAAATCTATAGTGACCAGAATGTTGAATCAGATCTAATAAGATGAAATATTATAGGAGTACATGTAAGTTTAGATGCAGAACAGCAATTATACAAGTAGAAGATGGGGAAGGCATTATTAGATAACGGTTCACATTGTTAGTGAACTGGCAAGTCTATAAGAGTTCATCAACAGTGTGTCATGGCATCCAGACAGAAGGAAGGTGATAACTCTGCCATACTTGGTTCTGATCAGACCACCTCTAGCGTACAGTGTTGGGTTCTGCCACCACCGTTTGGGAGGAATATTGATGGGCTAGAAATAATGTGAAAGAGAGTTGCCAAAGTGGGGAGAGGACCAGATACCATGGTATATATATACAGGGATCAGTTGAAGGCACCGAGAATATTTAATTTGGAAAAGAAGAGATTTCAAGGGGATTTGAAATAGCTCTCTTGGTGCTTTCGATGGGCTACAATTCTTATCCTGCTTTTGTTGTTCTGTTGCCATTTCCTTCTCTGGTTCATTTTAGAGATGAGGAAACTGAGGCAAATGGGGTAAAATGACTTGTCTAGGGTCACAAAATTAGTAGGTGTCTGAGGCTGGATTCCAACTCAGGTCTTCCTGACTCCAGGTCCAGCACTCTAGCCACTGTACCACCTAGTAGTTATTCTGTTTGACACCAAATGATGGAAGAACTAGGATCAATGTCTTCTTAACTAAAGGGGCAGAGTAATGCAGATTTCCCCTCAAAGTGAAGGGAAAAAACTTCTGACACCAGTGATAATAATAGTCAACATGTACTTAGTTATTGTGAGGTTTGCAGAGCAATATATGTATGTATATATCTATGTACATGTGTACACACACATACACACATTTGTTTTTTGTTGTCAGTTTTCTTGGAGGCAGTCGAGGTGAAGTGATTTGCCCAAGGTCACATAGCTAGTAAGTGTCTGAGGCTGGATTTGAACTCAGGTCCTCCTGACTCCAGGGCCGGTTCTTTTTCAGTTGTGTCCAATTCTTTGTGACCCCATTTGGGGTTTTCTTAGCAAAGATCCTAGAGTGGTTTGTCATTTCCTTCTCCACCTTGTTTTACAGATGAGGAACTGAGGCAAAGAAAGTTAAGTGACATGGCCAGTGTCTGAGGCTGGATTTGAACTCATGAAGATGATTTTTCCTAATTCCAAGCCCAGCACTCTATCCACTGTGCCACCTAGCTGATATACATATATAAATCACACACACACACACACACACAAACACACACACACACACACAAACACACACACATACATATATAAAACCTCATTTGATTTTCACAACAACCCCATGAGGTAGGTGAACCTGAGAGAGGTTAAGTGACTTTCTGAGGGTCACAGAGTTATTAAGAGTGTGGGTAGGATTCGAGTTCAAGTCTCTCCTTACTCTAAATCCAATACTCTACCAGCTATGCCACTGAGCATCCAAAAGCTAAATGGGCTGCCTCCTGTGGCCTTAAATGGACTCCTCATCAAGTAGAAGCCAGATAGCCTTTTTTTTGTTTTGTTTGTTTTGTTTTCTGGTTAGGCAGTGGGGTTAGGTGACTTGCCCAGGATCACACAGCTAGTAAGTGTTACGTGTCTGAGGCCGGATTTGAACTCAGGTCCTCCTGAATCCAGGGCCGGAGCCCTATCCACTGCGCCACCTAGCTGCCCCCAGATAGCCTTTTGTGGAGCAAGTTGTAGAAGAGATTCCTGTTCAGATATGGATTTCCCAGTGCCCTCTGAAGGGCACTCCTTCCATCTCTGTGATGCTGTTCAGCAGCAGCCAAAGTACCTGTAGGTGTAAATGTTCAAGGGCTGTCTGGGAGTACCCTTGACAATAGATCCTCAAAATAGTGTCTCAACATGCCTGGAGAGGAGGAAACTTTCTGAAACATCTTCCTACTGCTTTTTATGCCTGTAGACACTGAAATAAGCACATTTTATGAGAGAGGAAAAACAAAAACAAAAAACACAGCTCTAAACTCTAAGCTTCACACAGAGTACTTAGCCAGACTATTTCCTGATTTTTATTTTTATTCAAGATGACTGCCTTTTGAAAAGACATGTGATGCCACAAGTTACTCAATTGCCATTTCAGCGTATGGGTCCCGAGACAAGCAGTGGATGAATTCTGAGTTGGAGAAGAGGCTTCTCATTCATTATTTACCATAGAGTTAGCCAGGTTGCAAATGGTTTTGAGTACTGAATCCAGAGTCAGGAAACCCTGAATTTGAATCCTACCTAACACACTTACTAACTGGGTAATGCAAGGCAATTCCCTTTCCCTTGATCATCCTCAGTTTCCTTATAAATGGAGATAATAAGAAGGGATAATATTAGCACCTGTCCTAAAGGGCTCTTGTGATGATCAAATGTAAAGTGTTTCATAAACCTTAATTGTTTTTCATTTGTGTCTGACTCTTTGTGACCCCATTTGGGATTTTCATGGCAAAGATACTGGAGTGGTTTGCCATTTCCTTCTCCAGCTCATTTTACAAATAAGGAAACTGAGGCAAACAGGGCTAAGTGACTTGCCCAGAGTCACACAGCTAATAAGTGTCGAGGCCAGATTTGAACTCAGGAAGATGAGTCTCCCTGGTTCCAGGACCCTGCACTCTATCCACTGAGCTACCTAGCTGTCCCTATAAACCTTAAATCTCTTGATTAATGCTAGATATTATCATTAGCATCTTAGATACAACATAGTAATTCTTTCCTTGCTTTATTTTCTCTCAAAGAAGTAAGAAATGTGTCTTCTTTCAAGTCAAATAATTGCTAATTAACTGTGATTCAGGGGTCTGTATAATGTTTAAGATGTAGGTCCAGATGCACATTTTTCACTACTTGATTTCAGTTACAGTCTTGGTTTCGTTTCTCCCCAAGTTGTTAGATTATATCTGGGTTTTTGTGGGGGGTTTTTCTCTTCACCCTTCAGAGAAGGTCTTGATACACTCTTCCTGTAACCACAAGGATAGCCTAACAACACAGAAAAACAAAACTCCATGTTGTCTAAACAATATTGACCAAGGTAACTTTTAAGACACTAACTAGAGTTTTAGGAAATTATTTATTGAGGTCATATCCTGAAAACCTGCCTTTTGGTTTTCTTCCCTCTACCACCACCATGCCCCACCCCCCAGGTCCATCACACATATAAGTAAAAATTGCATTCTTTTCTGCTCAACTTAAGTAAATGGCAGTCAGGAAATTAAGCCAGAAATTGTCTTATCACAGTATATCCATTTTATATACCATAAGATCGTATATCTAGGGCTGAAAGAGACCTCAAGGATCATCTAATCCACTCCTCCTACCCCCATTTTACAGAAAATGAGACCCAGAGAGAGGTTAAATGACCTTCCCAAAGCCACACAGGTAGTGTCAGAAGTAGGATTTCACACAAGATCCTATGACTTCAGAATCTACAATTTTTCCACCTGCCTTGGGGCAAAAGGTGGGTACGAAGTGGGGAAAGGCTTGCTAAAAATAAGTGTCAAAACAGGAATTTGAATTCAGGTTATTTCCTGACACACTTCATTTTCCAGCGTACCACACTATTCTTTTTTTTTCTTTTTTTTTTGCGACGCAATTGGGGTTAAGTGACTCGCCCAGAGTCACACAGGTAGTGAGTGTTATATGTGTGAGACCGTATTTGAACTCAGGTTCTCCTGACTCCAGGACCAGTGCTCTATCCACTGTGCCATCTAGCTGATCCCCCACACTATTGTTTTAAGTCCAATTGTTGAGGTTTAGGGGTGCTGGGACCCTGAAATAGTGACACAGGTCCTGCCTTGAATGAATTCGACCCAAGCCTTCCTTCATCCAAAGACATGGTTTGTTAGAACACCAGTCAAGGTGGGTGTGATTTTAAGAATCCACCCTGGGTAAATGAGACTGACTCTTTTTAAAGGAAAAAAGATTTTGTGGGAGTGGCCAGGAGGCTGGGGTGGCTATGAGGTAAGAGAGATCACCAGGCACCCTGACCACGTGGCCAAGGGAGAATGGGATCTAGATAGAATCAAGGGTGGGCAGTGGCCAGGCCATCCTGAAGTAACAGATGATGAAAGTCTGGGCTAGGTTAGAGGTAACAGAATTGGGAGATTGGAGGTAGGTCACAATGAAAGGCCAACTGAGAGGATTATAGCCTCAGGCAAACGCCGGGGACTTGACCTTGTGGGAAAATCCAGGGCTTCTCCTTTTTGGGGTCCAGAATCCAAAGTCATGGTCTTTTCCTTTCAGGGTTCAGATCCCATGCCCATCACTGTGGTGCCGTTATTGTACCTAGCACAACATCTTGTACTCCACAGGGCCTCAATAAATGTTTATTGTTTTTATGTGAATTAGTATGGTACTATATATCGCCAGCCAGCGTATTACTGATTAAGTGATGGCTGGCTTTGTTTTGAGTTGTTGGTGGGAAACAATAGGAACCTAACTGCCATTTATAAAGTGTTGCAAGTTCCTCCATAACAATTAAGCCGTGAACTTCCATGAATTGGATATCTTTTCCATATTACATAAATAGGGAAGAG